ACATACAACATGTCATCAAATTCGACATTTTCAAACAATATTGAACAAACAAATACTGATCTGTAACTAGGAAGAGACTATAATATCTTATAACCTAATTGACAATCATTTTCGAGCTCAAAGTCTAATACGAAAACGGTTCGGTTTCACTTTGTGACGCAGTTTAAATTGCATTCATTTTACGAGCAAATCTCGACATTCAGAGCAATAATATTAACGCCAAAGGAAAAATATATATGAAAACTCACCCGTAATCATTTACGCACTGAGAAAGAACATATATATCGCTGAATAACAGGCCAGCCGGCCTAATTTGTAACTCAGCTGCCGATTTTGCATGTCTGCACCTGGCTGAGCGCTGTATAATACCAGTCACTCAGGGGGCGTGGTTAGGGCAGAGCCATATAGAGTGAGAGTTGCGACAACTCCATTGACTCCAATGGAACGGTTTTTTACAGCAATGGCGGCTCGCGGAGCCTCTCAATAGTTCCCGGAAGTAGCAGCAGCGCGGTAGAGTTACAGCAGAACAGACCGTTTGTGATGCACTTTTAAAAGGTAAGACGTTTAAAGAATAAGATTGTATATTATCAGTACATCTGAATCCAATTAACTTGTAACTTTAACTGTATTAAAGCATGCTAGTTGATTATTGCTCTCTAAATTAGTAGTTTTAGGGGACGTTATCAGGTAAAATAAAGGTCATTGGATAAAGTTAGTACCGCATAACAAACCACGAACAGCATATTAATGTTTAAACCCGTTCTATTAATGCATGTTCATCCATTGTTGTGTAATAAGAGGGAAATACTTCTAAACAGAGGTTAAATATAACATTGGGGAGTGTGAAAGTTGTAATTGATAAAATGAGAATATCGGTTTCAATCCATATTAAATGTGCAATAACGGGGAAAAATTCTTATTTTAGATTTCATATTTGAGTAAGGAAAAACGTACGGTTGGCGTTTTTTATTCATTGTGTTTCTGTTGACTATTACCTGTCTATATTATGATTTAGCTCAGCTGATTTGTATTGATGGGAAAGGGAGATGGAAGTTTATAAGTAAGATTAAAAAACATGCTTAAAACGGCAGCAAGCCGTGTTCTAGATCAAATCACACTAGGCTAAATGGGGTAGGCCTATTATAAATACCATAACTGTATTATATACTAACTCCTATATATAATTTATCCCGTTTTTGTTTCCTTTATCTCTTTCAACACAAGAAGCACAAAGGGGTCAGGGGTTAAAGGTGGATCCTGAAGACTCCTGCACTGACGCTGTACCTCATCAATCTCAGCTCCTTGGATTTTGCAAGACTTTACTTGCTCCCTATTTTTTATAAACATTAAACTTCCCAGTGTTGGTCTTTGTGGAAAAAGTGCAGATACACCTAAGTATGATTAGCACACAAGTTCTATTTAGATTGCTCCTGACTTGAGCATATTTTCTGTGTCTGACAACATAGAGGAAAGGCCAGACAACATGCTTGACGTGCAGTTTATTAGACATTTATAAATCCCATTGTGCTAATTCAGTGCAAAAGTGTATATATAGGTCATTGACAAATAAACAAAGTCTAAAATCTTTTCAAAACTGATGTAATGTATATTTTTGTGTCATGAACAATGTATTTGAACAAGTTTCAGTTGTGAACATTTCTAAGTGTTTAAATTCACCTGAAAGTGTACCAACCTACCCATAACTTTAAAGCAATTACCAGTATTTGATAGAGATCTACAAGGATCATTATGGCTCCTCTGGACAATGCATTATCATGCACACTGCAATTACCATAATAAGAGAGCCATGTTTGCAGTTGTGCCCCCCTGACATACAAATTGTTAGACAAAAGGTTTTCAATTATCAGCTATAAATCTACTGAAATGTATAAAATTTGTTTATATGAAAGGTTAAAATGATGCCATAGAATTTCATTTTTATTTTTTTTATGATTAAAACACCATTTAAATTAGTATTTTAGTCTGTTAATTTGTGCGGACAGTTACACAACCTGACATTTTGGGGGGTTTAAGATAACAAAACATAAAATATGTATTATCTAAATGTACTAAAAATTAATTTAAACTAAATAGGTTTTATAGATTAGAGTGATATATGTCATGAATTTATCAAATTATGTTAAGGAAATAATGTACTTGGACACTTAGAAAATAATGTATGTGTGTATAATCATGTTTTGTTTTAAAATAAAATATATTATGTATTCATTTATATAGTAATAAGTGCATAAGCATTGTAAACATTACGATGAATGCAATTTTACATTTTACTTGTTTGCAATGGCATTTTAAGACAATCACCTGTTTCCTGCAAGTCTCCTGTCCTTGTGAAACCATAGTGAACATTACATGATAACCCTTAAATAACATACAAGTTTAAGAACACAAAAATACTTCAAAACAACTGCAAAACGGTCTTTAACCAAGGTAAAGTTAGCCAGCCAGAAAATATGTTAACAAAGGCAGGCAACACTGGTTGACCACAATAAACATTAAATATCAGCAGATTTTTATCTTTTAAAAATAATATTGCTGTAACTACATACACATACTACATCCAAATGTCAATGTATTATATACATATTGTAAACCAACGCATTTATTGACTACAAACTACCAAAAATCACAGTTCAGCTCTCTACCTCCATCATCGATTTGAATTGGCGCCGAAGCACTTCCTGGAACTATCTGAGGTCTACGCGAATCACGTGACAACCAAGCATTTAGAATTTCCGTTGTCGCAACTCTCACTCTATATGGCTCTGCTCACAACATACACTACCAGTGGCGTAGCGGACGGGCACACATTATAACCCCTCATGTCAGGTGCTCTTCTAACCCCTCCTGCTTATAAGCCAACACTAAACACTATTTTCTCTCATAGAACAACCTCGCTATCCGCTAACAAAGCCCTGTTTATCCATTTCTATGCAGCCTTTAACACAATCAAACTCCATCCTGAAGCTCACGGATAAATCTCTTCAGGTATCTTCACTAGGTTGTACTTTTCTGAGCAATTGGATAGTAGTGCAATGCAGCATTTTCCATGTTACTCCCTCCTTAGGATAAAATGTTTAGGTTGCTTTGGATAAGAGCGTTAACAAAATGAATGAATGTAGATGTAATGTTCTTGAATGGTGTTTAATATCTGAAAGGAACAGCCAAATGAATCCTCTCACAGTTATATATAGTTACTTACAATTTTGTAAATCTCTCTTCTAATTAGACATGTCTCCGCCTGGTGAAAACAAACACAAATGTTAATCTGGTGTAAATGCAGCACACAGCGCTTCAGTTTGCACAGCTGTAATAACACATTTTCTGGAAAATAAGTTGCCAAATTAACCCAAATTGGGTTGTTTTTAACCCAGCATGGTAGTAAAGTAGTAGTACTAAGTAGTAGTTGTTTTGACCCAGCAAGTTGATTAAATAACTACATCGTTGGATTAAAATTAACCCAAAATGGGTTTATAATTAAAGCCAGAAATCAGAATTATAAAAATAATTTTTACACACACAGAATGACTATAAAAAGGCTCTCCCTCCATCACGAACACTGACTTCACTTCACCTGTAACACCGAACACACCTGAAGAAAAGAGAATTCAGTTTCGTGTTCAACAAACTAAATAAAGTAGGATTGATTTGGACATGAGAGTGAGTAAATGATGACAGAATTTAATGTTTTGGTGAACTATTCCTTTCAGTCTTTTCCTCCAGCAATCCTGTTCAAGTCTTTACAGATCCAAGGCCAGATTTCAAGTCCCGCAGGATATTTTGTGAATACAGTAACAACAAAATGCTGAATAAGAAATGAGTTCTCAGGTAATATCACTGAATCCTGAGTAATGCAGTAGTGAACAAGACATCAGCACAGAAACAAAGCATCATGTTGGTTTCATACCTTATGAAAATTTGATTAAATTAAAAGTGTAGTAACCATGGTTTCTTGGAAGATTGATTACCATTTGTTTAACTGCAAATAAAACCCATGGTTAAACTATGAATAGTGTAGCAAAACCATGGTTTATTTTCGTAAGGGTTTTTAGGCTACTTGCACCTGTAATACAAGAATTAGACGTTTTTCTTACACAATCTCCAGACAGTTTCAAGACCTCCAGACCACAAAGACATTTTTTTTTACTCTGATTCCCCCTAAATTATTATTTTTTTCTTTAAAGTTTGTAAAGTGAAGTGCGAAACCATTTAAATCTACTCACCGTCCACGACCACGAGTAACTCGGCGAAGATTAAAACAAACATGTTTCTGTAGACGTGTGAGTAAAAAATTATTAAACAAAGTCCATTGTAGTTATTAAAGTTTTCCATTGAGTGTCAGATTGTTCGATGTCATAGAGCCGTTTTATTATTCCACTTTTCTAAGCGAGTTGATTATATTTAACCGACTTCAGATCGATAGATTTATACGAGTTTACATGAATGAAAAAAAAAAGTTCATTCATTGGGATTTAAATGGATCAGATTCGATTCCCCAGAATCCCCACACCGGAAGTAGCTCACAACAATCAAACCTTTCGACATTTGACGCAGTGAATGGGTGTGTTGGAAAATGTAAGTTCCACCAATAAGTCAAAGTTCTGTCTTCAACACTTTAAAAAATGCAAGCTAATAATTTTAACGAAAAATAATGTAAAAAGCTACAGTAAAACCCTGGTGTAACATTTAATATCATATGAGTAATTCTACTGCAAATTATATGAGTATAAAAATATGTTATTACCAAGACAATTAATTAGACAGTTGACACATCATTACTCAAGACAAGTTTTTTATTAATATTAAAAAGTTATAGCCTAAAAATAAATGTAAAAATAAAGCATGTTTTGTTTTAAAAGGCTTAGTTTCAGACCAAAACTGCAGTGTCTCATTCACATTATAAAACTGTAACATACTGATTGTCCACTAGAGGACAGAAACATTCAAACACCTGTTTTGTTCCGTTCATATTCACTCTGATCAAAACAGTGAAACTGACACTATATAATGTAACAGACATGAAACATACATGACATTAATATCTGCATAACAGACAAGATCACGGTTAATGGGAACACGTTCCATCAACTTTAAATTAACCACACACAAAAAAAACCCCGTTATTTTTAAGTTAAATGAAACCCTTTGTCATTATATTTTTCACAGGAATGCAGAATCATTTCAAACACATTTTCCAAAGCATTCAGGGATAATGTTACTATAAACTATGACTTTTCAGAGATCTGTCCATTCTTCACCAGTGAGTTTGTCTCCTCTGAGTCTGACACATCTTCTTTTTCAAAAGAATCTGTAAGATAGCATAGAAAAATTCAGTGAAAATTAAAGTGTTGGTTACATCTACATCTAGTGTGGTTGTGACCGTTACCCCCAAATATATATCCTAAAATATACAAGAAGGGTGAAATACAGAACAAAAAGAGATTAGAACAAAGAACTATTATTTTCGTCTCCAGCACTAGATTGTTAAATAATATTTTTAAAAAGCAATATGGCAACTGTATGCCAAATTTAGCCAATAAATCCAGTAAAAATATATTACTTGTTCTAACTTGTTCACATAGTGCCTATGCACTTTAATTCCCACTGAAGTGCCTTGAGACATGCAGCATTATTCAGTGTGTTGAAGTAATTCCCACTGAAACAGGAAGACAGGGCGGGACATATCGAACAGCTCCTCCCCTTTTTTTAAAGAGCCAATAGCGTGTCGTTTATATCACGACTCGGCCAGAGCTGTTGAGTTTGGGAAAGCAGCATTTGACAGCTTATGGCAGTCCCCTTCTAGATTTAAAATGAAACTGTCACTAAAGCAAAACAATGATCATATAATCATGCTGAGGATGTGTAGTTTGAAAAGTGTGTAATTTATGTTAGCGTTTATATGGTGTTATCTCCTCTACTCGTCAGTGCTGTTTCTAATGCCGAGTCTGTCTAACCGTTTCTCCTCCATATTGCTTTAAAATACAGAATTAAAATGGGTCCGATACGTTTTCTGGTCTGTGGCGACTCAATCATATGATCTGCTGTGTGCTGCCATGTGTCTGGAGCTGCGGCGGTATGCGTGACACTAACGTGAAACCAGACTTCTTTCGCACCAATGGAAAGTTATATTTACACTGTCTGAATCGTTCCCTGTCCCCTATATAGTGCACTATGTGCCATTCATCATTTAGAAAATAGTGATTGTGTGAACAAGTGAGCGACTTCAGCCGCAGCTTCAGCATTGTAATGAAGGGGGCGGAGCTTCAGATTCTAGAGAGCATTTGATTGGATGGAAAATCTGATGAGAAGATGAAGTGCAGAGTGTCATCAAAATCACAGATCCATATATTGGTGGAAGTGAGAGACGTTTTGAACGCTTCTTGGAAATGCGAATTGTGTCATTGTTTCAGAGCACACTCGCTTATAGATAACAGTATGGCTAACATATTCATACTAAAAAACTTCAATTTTGATTTCATAGTGACTTTAAGAACTATTACACTGAGAGGATTGTGCTACTCACCTTGGACAATAAATGTCTTGGAGGTCATATCTTTCCCATTCCTGGTGATATTTACTTTATAAAGGCCAATATCTGTAGGTTTGATGTCATTGATAGTGAGATATCCAGTTTTGCGATCCAGGTGAAATCGGTCATCATGATCGTGATGACCGCTATTGTTCAGTTCATCCAGTCTGGTGATGACTTCAAAAGGAGTTGTTTGATCTGAGCTTGATTTTCCAAACCTCCACTGTAACGCATCGAAGCTTTGTATTTCAGTGAGGCCAGTGTTTAGAGTGACGGACTCTCCCAACGTCACTGACACTGTCTTCAGTTCAACTTTCTCCGCAACGTTCCCGTCAGCTGAACAGGAATAGAGATTGTTTAATCACTTTGTAATGGTTTTTGATGACAAAATAGACACAGTAAAACAGTATCTTTCCTGTACTCAGCTCAGTTTCTTGTAGATGTGTCGGTATATACGGTAATACGATATATCGTGATAATTAACATCCACATTATTGTTATCGTATTTATTAATGTGGAAATATGAATTTTTTTCAATGACATTTTCCTCTCAATAATAAACTAAAACTAGTGGTGGTAAATGTCTAAATGAGTAAGTCATTGAATCAATCAGGAATGAAGTAAATGGTTCTCTTTATGAATGGGCCATTGAATCATTGGTTCACCCGATTGATTCGCTCAAACACGGATTCATCAATAAAAGAAACACCGCTGTGTGTTCCTCGGAGACGCACTACAGTTCTGCTCTGGCTTTATATTTTTGTTGACAAAATTGAACAAAAACAGACAATATTGTGTCTAAAATATAATACAATATGAATCTTTTCATTGAACTGTATAAAATCAATATCACATTTGCACTTGTGCTATTCAGGACAGAAGTAGCACTTGTGTGATTTTGCTTGACTGCATTATATGACACAAATATGAGACAAAAACTGTAAGAAATTTAAGATGAACTACAAAGTTCTGGGGCGGAGCGGGTGCGTTCATCATTTTAACATGTTCTTTTTTTCCATAAGCAATTTATTAAATTAAAGTGACAAATCCACAATAAGCTCATACTTTTTCTACTTTCTAACTGGAGGTCATACCTACCCATTTTATCTGTATTTCTATATTTCCTGTCGATGATGAATTTTCCAACACCAGCCATGACTAGGACAATTACTCCAACAAAAACACAGATCAGAACTATATAACTGGACGATAAACCTCCTGTTTCGATCGTCGACTCGACCACTGTAAAACCGTAGATAAGAGAGAGTTAACACACAGAACTTGTGAGTATATCCAATAACTGAGATCTGAAATAGGTCAGATTACAAAAAAAATATTTGAAGTTGTATTTATGGGAAACCTGAGAACTGAAAATAAAGTTGAGAGGTATCAATAATGTGGAGCAGAACAAATCAGCCCTGACATACCAGAACATGTGTGGCAGAGTGTGTTGATGTCCAGATGTGTGGTCTGGTTGCTGATGGGATTGTTCAGCACACAGCTGTAGGGGTTTTTATCCTGATATTCCACCTCCAGAGGTAGAGAGAGACTGATGCTGAGATCAGACACACTGATGCTGGACAATACACTCATTCCTGCGTACCAGGAGAGAGTCACATGACTCACATTCACCACTGATGAACACACCAATGAACAGGATGATGATGATGATGAAGAACAGTGTGAATTACTGATGATGGGAACAGGCAGACGAGCTGGAAAACATGAGAGAATAAACAGAATGTGATCAATTACATGTAAATCAACCTGTTAGGCTAAGACAGACGGCTAAGGGTCTAATTAGTTACGAAGGGCCAGGCTCACCGAGGCCTCAATCACACAGAAAGGACATGTGCCTGCAGTGCAGGGACTTCCAGGTTATAAAATCTGGCAAATGTGGACGGCGAGGACCAGCCGGCTGCGCTACATATATCGCCAATAGAAACTCCACTGGACCAAGCCCAGGAGGAGGCCATGCCTCTCGTGGAGTGAGCTCTAACGCCTATGGGGAAAACAGGCCCATAGTAGGGTATGCCAGGGCTATAGCGTCCACCAACCATCTGGACAATCTCTGCTTGGTGACCGGAAGCAGAAGTTAACAAAGAGCTGCTCCCACTGTCTGTACTGGGCGGAGTGCTCCACATGCGTTCTCAGAGCCAGAACCGGGCAGAGTAGGTGTGACTGCTGCTCGTCTTCCAACGCAGGAAGAGCAGAGAGCAAGATTACTTGTGCTTTGAATAGGGTCGAACGCACTTTGGGCACATAGCCGTGTCTTGGTTTGAGGATGACTTTAGAGTCAGCCGGGCCAAACTCCAGACAGGAAGCGCTGACAGAGAGCGCTTGAAGGTCCCCCACTCGCTTAACTGATGCTGAAGCTAGCAGTAGTGTAGTTTTGAGCGAGAGCGGCCTTCAGTAGAGGCTCGAATGGAAGTCCCTTAAGGGCCCGAAGGACCATAGATAGATCCCAGGAGTGCACCGTAGGAGGTGGTGTAGGGTTGAGCCTTCTAGCTCCTCTCAGGAAGTGGACAATCATGTGGCTTCTCCCGACCGAAAGGCTGCGATGGCTGCCACATAAACCTTGAGTGTGGATGGAGTATGGCCTGCATCCAGCAGCTCCTGGAGAAAAGAAAGTATCAGTGATACTTCAAACGAGACTGGGTCCTGGTTCCTGGCTGAGCATCAGTCAGAGAATACAGAACACTTCAGAGCGTAGAGGTGTCTCGTAGACGGAGCTCTTGCCTTGCTGATTGTGGTTAGGACAGTCGCCGGGAGGTCCATAAACTCCCGTCGAGGGGCCATACATGGAGGGCCCACAGTTTGGGATGGGGGTGCCAAATTGTCCTGTTCGCCTGGGAAAGGAGGTCTTTCCTCAGGGATATCGGCCATGGGGCTGCTGTGAGCAGCTGAATCAACTCGGGGAACCAAGGTTGGGTCCGCCAGAGAGGGGCAACTAGTAGGACTTGACTTTCTTGCTCTTCTGACGGGCTCTGCGCTCAGCTCGGCGGGCTTCGCATTGATTGGTTCGCGCAGTTACGCCGCTTTGCCATTGGTTCGTGCAGTTCCCACTGACCAGCCAATAGCGTGCGAGTAAGCCTCAGCATTGTTATGGCTGTGCAGTAGTTTGCGTTATTTTATAAAAGGCTTCAGTATTTCTGAGAAAATGAGTTTTCCGTATAGCTATGCAATACTACTGACCGTTTGAAGGGGAACTATGTTTTAACTACTCACCAGACACAATGATACTGAATTTTTTGGGTTCGGAATCTTTATCGCCAAAGATATGTAAAAGTTCATAAAGTCCAGAGTGTTCAGTTCTGATGTTCATGATGGTGATATCTCCAGTCTGATCATCCAGATGCAGTCTGCCTCTGAATCTCCCATCAAGAACATCATCATATAATGAGACCTTATTGACCTGTCTGTTGATCTGAGCTATACGAGTGTTGTCAGGTCCAAACGTCCACAGTATCAGATCAGCTTTCTGTATTTCAGTAACATCAGTTTGTAGAGTAACAGTATCTCCCTCCATCACTGATAATGTCTTCACTGTATCATCACCAAACCTGAAGAACAAACAAACAGAATCTCAAATGGAGGTTAAGGTAATTTATGTCTAAATAACTTCATGAGACTGTGTGGAACCAGCCATATCATGTTGGCCAATCAAATTCTACCTGTATTGGCAGGGATTAAATTATAAAATTAATAAATAGAGCCAAATCGTGGAAACTGCAAAAACTGCCTATTTTAATATTGAAGGTAGGCTAAGCTATGTCTTCTCTGCGTGGGTTCATTATACATTATACAAGTTTTAGTGGGGTTTTTAATCATAAATGAAAGTCATATCAATAAGTAGCCTCATGTATATTTAAAAAAAAAAAATCGTAGGCTAATAGGCTACGTCAAGCACAGCTGATGACCTCCTGTAACACCCACATCTAAAAAAAAATTTTTTTTTTAAACATAATAAACTAACGCTCACCTCTGAAATAAACACATAGGCCTATGTTTATATTATTCATGTTTTATCCAAATCGTATTAAATCCCAGATCGACGTCGGGTGATAAGAATTGAGACTCTTGAGATTATAAATGTTATTATAAATGTTTTAATTATAATGTTGAGATTATAAATGTAAATGTTGAGACTCTTGAGCAGTTAAACTATAGATTTATATTGTAGTTAAATTGGGTAAAGTATGTATCTCTCAATAATCAAAGCATTTTACAATAGGCCTATTTTGTTTAATTGCAAATAGGCTATTCTGAACCCGATCCGAGATAACAAAATGAAAGCGAAATTCTCTAGTCTACTGACCTTTCAAGAATAAAAAACAGATACATAAAACACAAATCATCATACTGATGTAGATCAGAGTGAAATGTGGTTTAAAACAAAGATGTAGTAGTTCATCGTTCAGTTGCGTTCTCGGAGTGTTTATCCTTCAGCGCTCCGTGTCAGACAGACAGCGACGATTAACATCATTTTATCTGTAACTAATTTAAAATCTTACTAATATTTTTATATCTAACCGACTTCACAACAATAGAGAGACTATATTTTTTAGGCTATATAGGCTATAGACTAGGCTACTATCATCTTAGTTTCGAGGGAAAGTTGGCAGAGTGAAGTATCAGGAAGTCCCTCGGATAAGATATTTAATGGAGAATGTGGTGTAACCCCGTAAACTTGAATTACCTGTTTTAATGAAACTGTTTCAAGTTGTTCTGTGGTGTGAGTAAAACGCAAAACACACAACGCAGTGTCTTTATGCACACCATTGTTAAGCGACTTAAGGATAACAACAGGAAAGGCTGAGTCCTCGTGGAAGGTGCCGCTTTTCCACAGCCTATATCCCAGATAGCAAATAGTAATTGAAACGATGTTAAATCAACATCCCGCTGTCAACGAAATCATTGAATCAACGTCGAACTCTGATGTTGATTCTTCATCATTGTGTCATGTAAAATTGTCGTTGTATGAATGTATCAGACGTGCTGTAGAGGCAGAACAATTTTCCGAGAGGACAAATAAACATAATCTAAATCTAATCTAATCATGTTGCACCCTCTATTATCATTGAAACAACGTTTAAATCATACCTTGAGATCAACAGAATTTCAATGGTATTTCGATTACAATGGATATTGAAACAATGTTGAAATCCCAGCATATCAACAAAACTTCAATGGTGTTTTAGTATACCACAGGTTTAATCTGAAGGTCTGTAATTTTAATATAATATTAAAAACATTATTATTAGGCTATAATCCTGCTTTATCGACAGCCAGGATGGGGTAGCAAAATATAGAAAATAGAAACTATACCTTTAGGCTATAACCTAGACTAGCACAAATGACACCCAACGCATTCTTTAAAAATTAAACAATAATTTTTATTGTATTTCATTTTTTTTCTTTTAACGTGCTAACTCTGCTGCGTCTGTCTTCCAGCTCCTCCCGCTCGGTCTGGGGCGTAGCGCAGCCACTTCTGTACAGCTTGAGCGAAGTCATAGGTGTTTGCCGTTGTAAGACGTTGAGTCAAGGCATCTAGAATACAAGTAAACAGCAATTTAATTCAGAATCATCCACTGCCCTGATTATTTCCCCACAAAGCAGATGATAACAAAAAATTATTTTAAACTGGGCTTGCAAAGGTTTTTCTAAAGACTGAACAATTTTTATTCATGAATAATGGACTCGTTCACTATATTAAAGTACAAGATATATCACGTAATTTTCTGTCACATGTATAATGTCTGAATGGAATATATCCGTGACTGGTCGAGTGAAAGCTCCACCTGCCACGCAAAGATTTTACCCCCTCTCTCATCTTGCCATTTCATAGGTAAATCATTTTATATTTCTGGGTAGAAACACATTTTTGTTGAGGCTGCAGGCCTATAAGACGGACTACATTCAAAGCACTTTTCAAAACTGTCCAATATGTTCATGGATGTATTCGAATTAAAGGGAGGCAAAAAGGACTAGCTTGCAGTGACATCTTTCATAAGGACAATTTATGAGGCCAATTGACTCTAAAAAAAATCATGTTTATTATTTTATTTAATCAGAACTAATTGTTAACTCAACAAATTAAATATAAATAACTGGAGACGTATAACTAATTAAATAGTAGATGTATTGATTAGAGTTACCATAGACAAAATATTTTTCTGTTGACTAAATTGCACATTAATTTCTGCTTAAATAGGCTACTGCTGCATGGAGGAATATGCATAGGCCTAAATCTCACCGCAAAAACAGGCTAATAATAAGGCTATGTCTTTAAAATTAACGAGGCATTTTAATTGCTTCTAAATGAAGTATGTGGGGCTAAGCATTGAATAAAGTAAAGGTAAACCATGTCTTTTGTGTAATTCTGGCCCGCCGCGGTCACTGCTGTGGGTAGCGCTATAGCTAGCTAGCGATAGAGATAGAGCACTATGCTAGCGTTGGTTCCGCGCGGTGTTCTCCGGCGGTCAGAAGAAATAGCGGTGCTGTGTTAATAGATTTCACGACACTAGCAATTGGTACAGACATGTATTTTGAGCTAGCTGTCACAAAAATAGACTGGACCAACGAGGTTTTGCTAACTTTATAACCTAGAAGAGATCAAGTACTTTTGGCAGATTTTGACACATTGGTAAAACAAAACTCTATTTCAGTGACTGCAGCACTGCGTCGGTTACTACATTAACCATCATGTTAACGATCAGCCTAACAGTATTTGATTTGGTACAATTCATTCATATCGAACATTAAGCAAGCTTACCTGTACGCTTGTGCCAAGGTCCAGAAATGAGCTGTGTCCGGTGCAGTACGTTGGTGTTGATCTCCCTGTCAACTATATATCGATGCATTTTCAATCATTTTTCCCGGTCAACTATATGCCGATGACTCTTCAACAACAGCGTCGTTTCCCGGTCAACTATAAATCAATGACTTTTCAACACATTCAGCGATCGCCCGGTAAACCAAATATCAATGCTTAATCAATCATAAAGATAACTATAGATCAATGTTGTTCCAATATTGTTGCCATCAACATTAATAATATCAGGTTTTCATCGATATGGTAATGGTGATTCAACATTTATTTTGCATTGAAATTTCAACATCAACCATAATGATGATTCAGATGGAAAAACAATGTTTATTCAATGTTGGCTTGCTGTCTGTATATTTACTAATATTCATGCAAGTTTATGGAAGCTAAGCAGGGATGGTATGAACCCACGCCCGGATTGGCTAATCGGGAGCACCGGTCTGTTTTATTGGCCAGGATCGAGGGCCGGTTTTGTCATGGCACTGGGTTGAATGCTTTATATAGGCTCCAGTCACAGCTTTCTGGGTGTATATTTTTCTGAGTGTACGTTGTGAAATAATTGCCTAATATTATTAACTCTAATTTGGTGCTGCAATGATTTGCATATCACGACGATAACCGACCTCATAATCTGAGCTGCTTCAGTACTCAAACACCGCTCGTCGGCAATGGCAAAATGTTTGAGATGACCGATCAAAGCAAGCGGGATTTATGTTCACAGAAGCGCGAGCCGCGGCCGCGCGCGAATCCCAACGCGACGCTTCACGAGATAAGATGCAATAAGTGGCTAAACTAAACAGCCGTTTTAATTACGAAAAAAGTTTTAAACGACCGACAGAAATAATCAGTTTGTGAAGACTGTATCAATCAAAGCTCAGCTTCGGGAAGGGAGATTTACAGGTAACCTAAAGATAAAGAGACTAAGAGAAGAAGAATGAGAGAAGATGGAGATGAGAAATGAGAGCAGGTAGAGGAATAGCCTATTGCATACTGTGCCCAGAATGAGAATAACTTTATTACAATGGATTTCTATTTAACACAGATATGTTCTTTGCCAATGATGATCATCTGTGTAAAAATAAGCTCAATTTAACACAAGCACCTATATATAATTATATTTATATTTCCCCACTATCAGCACTGGGACTTTTCACTGTTTGTACTTCACTTGTCTGGGTGGGCATATGCCCCCGAACCCCTAGCAAGATCACTTTTCGGACCTCTGTATTTATAAAACCCCGTATACGGCTATTGCACTGAATAGAAATTTATATATTTTTTAAATACAATGAATAACAAGGCTGTACAGAACACTGCACTATTGCAGACTTATATACTGAGGTTTTAATTACTTTATTTTAATATAGTCAGGCGGGAACTAAAGTTGGCCGGTCTAAGGCATGAAACTCTGAAAATGAGTCCCACTCCGGCCCTGGATGAACCTCGTCAGTAGATACATTACATTGGATGAAAATGTCCTGTGATCTATTTTAATATGCAGTTCAACCTAATGACCACTTGAGGGAAATAGTGACTGACAGGCTATGAGCTGTTCCCAGTCTATGCTAGCTGGAAAGTTTTGTAGCGCACAGGCCACACACTTGCGCAAGTATTAACGTCTGAACACATCTCTGAAAACAACCACGAGTAGTGCAGTTCATCGCTTAAACAGGCATGTGTCTGACAAAGGACATTAATGTTTCATACGGGCACACAAAATAAAAACCTTAACTATAACTGTTTTCAAACACACATTTTCTTTATTTGCCCAAAATGGCAGACTGAATCTTTTTTTTATTTTTTTTATATATGAAATGTAACTTTCAAAGGACAATTCAATTCGATGTTTTAAAATGCAATAATTACATTGAAAAAAAAAAATGTACTGTTATAAAGTGTCATGAAAATAAGTATAATATGATATGATAGGCTACTTTGTTTTTGAGAGAAGAAATGAGTGGGAGAGAGAGGACACGGAGGTATAGAGAGAAAATGAACAGGGATTCACGCAGAAGAGGGAAATCCTAAGAGAATGACGCAAAGCATTTACATAGAATCAGAATTATGCCTTAAAAATAGCCTCCATATACTTTATAGATGTGATTTTTAAAAACATGGCTGATGATGTAACAAAATGAAATGTTATTTCTTCTTAAACAAACAAATGAATTACATTAAAAAAAATTGGGGTCTTAAAGTAAAAAAAAAAGTCCAATAGTTAGTAAGGTAGGTGTTAAGTTCAGGTATTGGTTAGGATTAAGGGATGTAGAATATGGTCATGCAGAATAAGGCATTAATATGTGCTTTATAAGTAGGCTACTAATAAACAGTTAATATGCTTGTAATATGCATGCTAATAAGCAACTAGTTAATAGTGAGAATTGGACCCAAAACTAAAGTGTTACTGATCATTGAAAATCATTTTTCAACATATATATTTGTTTATTTGTGTGCAAAAAAGGCCAGTTATACTCATTTAATGTCACTGTTTCTGTGCATCACTATTTGAACTGTATCTTACCATTATTTACAGTAGCAGTAAGTTCAGCTCCAAGTTGCCCTGTATAAATGACTGTTTGTCAATGTTTGAAGTTTGCATAGAGAGAACTTTAGTGTTTTCTGTTAAAACGGTGTCGTGTTAGCGGCCCCTAAGTTAATAACTCATGATATTTGCGACGGAAGTGAATAACTTTAGCTGGACAATAATTACTAATATATCATA